ATCCAAAACAGTCCAGTGGAGCCTGAGCGGTGGGTGTTGCCTTCTGACCCACTTCCGGTGATGTCAGGGGGTGTCGCATATGCAAATGAGTTGTGCTAATGAGTTATGCTAATGAGCTCCTGCACCTCTTTTTCTACGAAATGACCCCTGGGGGTCACCAGAAGTTGGCTGCAACTTAACAGAACAAGAGATCAGACTACGGGTGTCACGAAAGAGGCAAAAGAGTTTCTCCTCATGACCATGAAAAGGCTACCAAAGTTTCTCTCTACTCTGAAGCAATGCTCCCTCTAAGCTGTGGAGTCTTGCGAGCAAAAATTCTACCTTGTGAGCGACTGACATTGAAGATGTGAGTGAACGATTTGGCTGCTGCATCAATCAGTTTGCTGTAGAGCCATCCCTTCCCGAGCTAAGACAAAAAATGTGTGAGCTGGAGGCTAAAAAACTGTGAGCTAGCTCACACTAACTCAGCTTAGAGGGAACATTGGTCTGAAGTCATGTAAACAGTCCACCATTCTCTTTGCAGCAGGAGGAATCCTCAGTACCTAAAATCAGGTCATGCCAGGTTACTTTGCATCACTTGTCTCCATCTCGTTCAGATCAAGCCTCAGGGGCTGAAATGACTAAACTGAGGCTACCGTACTTTGGTCCCATTGCGAGAAAACTCGGAGTTTTCGCCTTCTTACCCCGTGTCTTTGGAACTTGGTAAAACTGAGGGTTCCGAAAACACGGGGTAAGAAGGAGAAAACTTCGGGTCCGTACCCGGTGAAGAAAAATCTTTTGCGGAAAATTTCATACAACGCAGAGTTTTAAAAACGCCAATGCGGGGAATTTCACTCCCGCAGAAATGGTCTCAGTTTGCAAGATCTGAGCAAGGCTGTCAACGATAATACGTTTTGGAGGACATTGATTCATAGTGTCGCCGTTAAGCCAGAAGCCACCGGACAGCACTTAATACACATTTGTCTTCAGGATGCTTGAGAAAGGAGGCACTTTAACCCTTCCAAGTCAACGCGATGATCTTCATCCCTTACATCAATGATGCTGCAGTTATGAAAGCAAATCTGAAGCAGCATGGCTCCGGTGCAGTGCAGCACTGAACCACCATTTAGTGATTCGGAGTGCCTCTTTGGACTCACTCATGCAGGGAAAAGGGGCAGCGTAGGACTCTAGATTTGACACGGCATCTTCATCGAGCTCTGAACTTCCAGAGCTGTTTAGCGTGCCTACGGTCTCCACAGCCCACCTGTGTAGGTGGCCGTTGAGGGCATAGAAGTGGAAATCAGTACTGGATTCGTTTGGCTGGCGGGTATTCATCCCAGCTTCTTCAAGGGCTGTTTGACTAAACTGAGGCTACCATACTTTGGTCCCATTGCGAGAAGACGAGACTCACTGGAGAAGACAATAATGGCAGGAAAAGACGAAGGCAGCAGGAAAAGAAAGTCCCAACATGAGATGGAGCGGCTCAAATTGAGGAAGCCACAAAGGCCCTCAGACCATTTCCGCAGTAGTGAAATTCCCCGCACTGACGTTTTTAAAACTGCGCGTTAGGTGAAATTTTCTGCAGCAGATTTTTCCTTGTCAGGCACAAACTCGGAGTTTTCGCCTCCTTACCCCGTGTCTTCGGAACTTGCTAAAACTGGGGGTTCCGAAAACATGGGGTAAGGAGGAGAAAACTTCAGGTCCGTACCTGGTGAGGAAAAATCTATTGCGGAAAATTTCATACAACGCAGTTTTAAAAATGCCAATGCGGGGAATTTCACTCCCGCAGAAATGGTCTCAGTTTGCAAGATCTGAGCAAGGCTGTCAACGATAATACGTTTTGGAGGACATTGATTCATAGTGTCGCCGTTAAGCCAGAAGCCACCGGACAGCACTTAATACACATTTGTCTTCAGGATGCTTGAGAAAGGAGGCACTTTAACCCTTCCAAGTCAACGCGATGATCTTCATCCCTTACATCAATGATGCTGCAGTTATGAAAGCAAATCTGAAGCAGCATGGCTCCGGTGCAGTGCAGCACTGAACCACCATTTAGTGATTCGGAGTGCCTCTTTGGACTCACTCATGCAGGGAAAAGGGGCAGCGTAGGACTCTAGATTTGACACGGCATCTTCATCGAGCTCTGAACTTCCAGAGCTGTTTAGCGTGCCTACGGTCTCCACAGCCCACCTGTGTAGGTGGCCGTTGAGGGCATGGAAGTGGAAATCAGTACTGGATTCGTTTGGCTGGCGGGTATTCATCCCAGCTTCTTCAAGGGCTGTTAATCGGAAAGGATGGGGCTGGTGGACAGGACGGATTGTGTCTTGTTTTTGATTGCTGCCACCATGTTGGACAGGAGGGAAGGCAGAGGAATATATCCTAATCTCGTCAGCTCGTAGAAGGTAAGCAGGGCCGGTACGTGGAAGGGAGATCACCGAGGAAGACTCTGCCGAGGAAGGCAATGGCAAACCACCTCTGCTCCTCACTTTTTGTTGTAGTGGTTAAGTGCGTGGACTCTAATCTGGGAGAACTGGGTTTGATTCCCCACGCCTCCACTTGCACCTGCTGGATGACCTTGGGCAGAGACATAGTTCTCTCAGAGCTGTTCTCCCAAGGACAGTTCTGGAAAGAGCTCTCTCAGCCCCACCCACCTCACAGGGTGTCTGCTGTGGGGAGGCGAAGGGAAAGAAGTCTGTAAGCCGCTCTGAGACTCCTTCGGGTAGTGAAGGGCGGGGTATAAATCCAATCTCTCTCGCCTTCAAAACCCCTCGCTGGGATTGTCAGAAGTCGGCTGTGTCAGAGAGGCTTGCTTTGACTGGTGATTTTTCTCTATTAGATTTTCTTAATTTTTTTTTGTAACCTACTCTGAATCCTGATTCACGAGACAGGAACGGGAAAGGCATTGCAAATAAATAAAAGTAACGAGAAGTCCACCCATTCACAGGGGTTTGGGCCGGTAGTGGTGAAAAGTGCCCTCAAGTCACAGTCGGCTTATGGCGACCCTGGTGGGGTTTTCAAGGCAAGAGACGTTCCGAGGCACTTTGCCATTGCCTGCCTCTGTGTGGCGACCCTGGACTCCCAGCCAAGTACTAACCTTGACTGACCCTGCTTAGCTTCCTGAGATCTGACGAGATCGGGCAAGCTTGGGCCATCCGGGTCAGGGTTAGGTTTGGGTTAGGTTTTCCTTGCTCGAAAGCCAGTCGAGTCCGACTCTAGGGTTGCGGTGCTCATCTCCATTTCCAAGCCGAAGAGCCAGCGCTGTCCAAAGACGTTTCCATGATCATGTGGCCAGCATGACTAAACGCCAAGGTGCAGGAACACTGTTACCTTCCCACCAAAGTGGTACCTGTTTATCTATCCATGCAGGAAAAAGCTTAGCGTCCAATGTCTAACTACTACAGAGAGACTCCAGCGTGTTCTATGAACCCCTGGCTTGGTCTCCAGCTTGTGTTCCACACTTCCACGTAGCAACAGCAGGGCCAGGGCAGGCGGCCTTTGCAGACAGACTCTTGGCTGACTCTCCATTCCCACAGGGAGGAAGAGGTGGATGCTCCCTCTAAGCTGTGGAGTCTTGTCAGCAAAAATTCTACTTTGTGAGCGACTGGCGTTAAAGTTGTGAGCGAGCGATTTGGCTGCTGCATAAATTAAGTTTGCTCTGGGGCCATCCTTCCTGAGCTAAGACAAAAATGTGTGGGCCGGAGGCTAAAAAACTGTGAGCTAGCACACACTAACTCAGCTTAGAGGGAGCACTGGACACAGTACAGGTTGCAGGAACAAAAACTCTTTATTTGAGACTTAACAGATGGCATGGGGTTCCCAGGGCAGTTTACCGCACTTCCTTTCCCGGCTGCCTCTTCTCCCTTTCCTCACCCACGCACTCATCTTTGCCTTCCCGCTTTCAGGCACGGGTGCTTCGCTTGTCCTGTGCCACCCAACTCCTCTCCATGGCCACCCATAAATCATCCCCCGGCTTTGGCTCAAAACCCCCCAGATCAGGGCAGAACCCCTGCCCTCTCTGAGCTCGGTGACTTCTCCAGCCCAAACCCCCCCCCCCCCCCCCGGACCAAGCGGCTCCAGCCCCTAACAGCCAGCCTCTTCCCAGCCAGTGCCCTTTTGGCCATACTCAAGCTACTGGCCCGTGGCCCTCAGTTATGCCTCCCTGGGATGCCCTTAATGGCACCGTGCCCTTTTCCTGCCCCTCCGTGCCACACCTGGGCATCATTCAAATACAGGGGCTTGGGTCTTTATCTACAGGGGCAGGCATTATCTACAAACGTTTTTTTAAAAAGCCAGTCCATTCTATTAGCAGGTTAAAAATGGCCTCGGATGGAAACTTTGTGTTCTTTCATCCTCCTTTATTTTAATATCCAAGAAACAAATTCTGACACAGTTATTTGTTTTTAAAAGATGAACGGCGAAGCATCTGAAAATAAAAACCACAAAAGAAACTGCACGGGCCTAACAAAACAAAAACGCAGTCAACTTGCTCGGCCTAACAAGGTCGGCTTTGCCTAACAATTTGTACCATCCTGGAAAATGAAAGAGGGATGCGTGTGAAATACGAGTGCGCAGCAAACCAGCGGTTTACTGTTCTGTGATGCCAGATAAGGGGGAGGGGACGATGATTTTTTTAAAAAGCTGTACATTTTTAAAAGGTTACAATTACAAAATGGAATCTGTTTGCTTAGGCACAGCTGGAAATATTCAACAAGACAGCGCCAGGCTAAACCTGGGGATCCGACAAACCTCTGCATAATTTTCTTATTTAAAAAATAAAATAAAACCCGTGTTCGTTTGCACTGAAATAAGACTCCGTCTTCCCCCAAACAAAACAAAACAATGACCTTGATGTTGGCGCTAACCCCGGCTTAGGCAGAGGCCAGGAACGAGAGATCTCGTTCCGGCCGCCATCTTGGCCTTCTCCGGTTCTGCTCGTTCAATGCAAGAGATTTATCAGGGTGGGAAGAAACCGGCTTGAGAGCTCTGGTTCACTCATTCTGGGGATCAAGCGGGGGCTCGATCCTGAGACACCGAGCGTGGCAGGAACCCTATGCACGCGACACCTACGAGACGAGGTAGGGAAAACAAAGCAGAGCGACGTTTTGCAACCAAAGTGTTCTCATTTGAAAATTAACCCATTACAAGTAATTAGATTAGATGAAAGGACAGAAATTTGTTTGTGGAAGCAAGGAAACGGTTATCTGTAAGAGAGTGGTTTTGTTTTGTTTTTCCTAAAGGAGAGTTTTACAAGACCATGGAAATGCTGGGAATATGGTCTCTGGGCAATTTCTCTCCTTTCCTGCAAAATGCAAAATATCTGTCCCAAATTCCTCTTTATCTCTAAGGAACAATTTGCAAACCGTGCTGGGCCAGACAGCCACCAGTTACCATGATTGCTACTATGTTCTCTGTGGCTACTATCGCATATACACATTGGGGAAGAAAAGGATGCATGAGGGAGGGACACTTAAGTCCTTCTTGTCCTCAGGCCGTCACAAATCAAAATCCCCCTGCATGACGGCTACAAAGAGATTGCCTTCAGGCTATCACTTTAGAGGGGCTACTATCTTAGAATGCAATGAACGCTAGAGGAATTGACTCCTTCAACCATTTTTCTTCCAAACGGGTAAACAAAGAGCATCCAGATTTTTCCAGGGTGAGCCGAAAACAAAAGTACAAGGTCATAACACGAGATCACAAACAGGATTGGAAACCCGCCGGTGACGAACGGCGGCGAGGTCTCCCACGCTTGGAACTAGACACGTATTCATTGTGTACAGCTCCGCTCACGGATACTTATGTGGGTGGTGGTGTATTGTCTGCCTGAAAAAGAGGACGCAGAAGAGGGAGTCTCACACTACCCCCTCGTTGTCCTTGGACTGCTTCTCTTCCCAAGACAAGGAGAAAGCGGCTTGAAACCATGAGAGCACAGACAAAGGGGAGGCCTTGGATCTCCTCCCCCGCAGGCTCCTCTCCGTGTAAAAAGTAAACCCCTGCTCCCACTCTCTGCTTTAGACGCAAACGAACATAATGTGGCTGCCACGTCAAGTCTAGTCCTCTGACCCCCTTTCCCCCCTCATCTCTAGAGTGACTGAATTGCTTGAGAAGGGGAAGGTAGAATTCGCCGGTTCGCTTCCTCCCTGAATTTCCCGTTGACAGTCATCCGCAGACGTTGCAGAGGCACAAGGAAGCTAATCAAACATGTCTTCAAACATGCGCTGACCCATAGTGATGTAGAGGTCCTTCTCATCGGGAGTCATCTGGGCCACCAGTTCTGGTCGCTGAGTCACCTGGCTGTACGAGAACGGGCGCCCGGCCACTGTGACAGTGGGGTCCTCAGTCACCACCTCAAACTCATCGTCATCATCTTCCTCCACCAGGCCGAAGAGTGTCCCTGTGGCAGCAGCTGCTCGGGGAGGGGAGTCTTCATCCGATTCGCTCGTCTCACTCTCGGAGTCACTGGCATTGGTGCTCGATAAAGGGGGCGCTCCACCCAGGGCGCCGACGGAGGCAGAGGGGGTTTTCTTCTCATGGATGAGCAGCGCGCGCATCACTTCCTCGTTATTGTCCAGGGCACCTTGACTCTCCTCCCCTTCCTGGAACATATCTGAGCCTCGGCCACCTGTAGGTGCATGAGTAAAACAAATGAAGGAAACAACAGGACAAACCACGGCAGAGATGCAGATTTATAATTTGGACCAATGAGAATTTCCCCCAACAGCAGTGCTGGAATGGGAGTGGCCCATTGGGCGCCCATGACACCAGAGCTCCAGCATCAGTGCTGAGCTCCGTATTGTCTTCCAGGACCTAGTTCTCAGCACTTGGTTTTATTGATATGGCAAACTGTGTCTGGAAAATCACTGGTAAGTGTTTGAGTGAGGGCTCCTGAGCCACGGAACCTCCTCTCCCCCGCAGCCCAGTTCTCACCCCATTCCGACATCTCAGCCAGCAGAGTGGTTGAATGCCTTTCCACCCTCCCACCCCTTCCCCCAAGATTCCTGTACAGAGGAAAACAAACTTCTGCTTGGGGAGGGGGCTGTGGCTGAGTGGTAGAGCATCTGCTTGGCATGCAGAAGGTCTGGGGTTCAGTCCCCGGCATCTCCAGTTAAAAGGACCAGGCAGTAGATGTGATGGGAAAGACCTCTCTGCCTGAGACCCTGGAGAGCCACTGCCAGTCTGAGGAGACAGTACCGACCCTGATGGACCCAACAGTCTGATTCAGTACAAGGCAGGTTCATGTGTTTGTGAGTTTCTAACAGTAAGCTGCCTTGAGCAGTCCTCTGAAACGGCAGCCTAAAAATATTCTAAATAAATGACATTCCTTTCCTTCTCTTGGTCTTATTATTCCGATTTCATTTGTATTTGAGTTTTTGGTGTCTCCCCGTCTGTTATGTTTTCTTAATGTGCAGTTATATGCATCTGTTGTGTGACTGAATAATAAAATAAAAAATGAAATTAAAAAATAATTTATTTATTTATTTAAAGGGAAACAAGCACGCTGGAGAGAAGCACCTGGCTTAGACTTTTCTCTAGCATGCAAGCTTTCCATGAGCAGATAAGGGATTGGAGCCAGACTCAAATTTTTGCCCACACAAGGGGGGGGGTTAATTTCAGCTGATCCCCCCTTCCGAAGCTATTCAGGGGTGATGCCCATCCCCCAGGGAGAGGGTTTCAGGGGGCTGCAGTAGCACAGGGGGGAGACAGGGAAGTTGCACTACCACTAAACACTAGGCCTTTGCCCATGCCTAAGATTAGCGAGAGGCATGTCATACCCAGACCATGAATTATGAACCGGCTCTGCCAATTCTGAGAGTTCTAAACCAGCTCTGACTGCTTTGGCACATGCATGTTCTTGCAATGCCACTCGGGAATTTAAGTGTGGGGGCGGGCATGCAACAGCATGTTGCCTAAGTAACGGCGTGACAGTTCCATAAAGATGATTTGATCGCTGGGCTCCAGATGGGAGTCGGACCGTTAATCAGTGAAGCAGGAGTGCCGTTGGCTGTCTGTCGGGCCCAACCCATGCCCACTATGCAGGTGGGAACACGGGAAGTCAGGGTCACCCTTGTTTCTTTATTCATTGTGAACAGAGTAAGAGTTTAAGGGTGCCCAGTGTCATAAAAACTTTGAATTATGAGCAACAGGCTGGATCTAGCACATTTCCGCTTGCGCTAGAGCTCTTGCAGAAACATAAGAAAAAGACTGCAGCCACCACCTTCGCTAAGTTAGTCTTATTGTATCCTTGCTTACATTTCTGCTTGCACCAAGATCTTGTGGCAACCAATTTCTGACTGCTGAGAGAGAGAGAGAGAGAGAGAGAGAGAGAGAGAGAGAGAGAAGACATAAACATTTCACAACATCTTGTGCAAGCAGAACTGCACTCTGTCCATTTATGTTTATATTTTCATTTGCAAGTTGTGGGATCCAAGCCAACGACAAGCCCTATGACAAGGCCATTAGTGGCTTTATCACACCACTGCTAGAGATATCAGATGCTGCTTTATACATAAGAGCAAACACAAAGCCCCAGGGGCTGTTTGTACACGCTGGGATGTGCCGCACAGTCTGCCTTCTTCAGGGAGGCCCTCAGTCCAGTTCAGATAGCTTTGCAATGGCCCTCCTGCTTTCCCCTCCTTACCTTCTTTGACGTCATCAGGATCATAAGCTCCCTGTACGGTGCTCTCACGCAGCCAGACCGGCCTTTCTCGGGGCGGCTTCCCATCATTGGCCGTCTGATGTGCATCCTCCTGGTCCTCCATGCTGATGACAACGTTCTGGGTGTACAAGTCCTCATAAGAGGGCCCCTTGGTGGTCCAAGCCTCCCTATGCTGCCCGCTTGGCAGAACGCCCATTCCTGCGGCACTGGCGGCTCGTTCCTTGCTGCAAGCCGTCATAAAAACAAAGATGCTTGTCAAACCAAGGGAGAGGAGGAGGAGGAGAAGAAGAAGAAACTGGATTTATACCCTGCCCTTCACTCGGAGTCTCAGAGCAGCTTACAAACTCCCTTCTCTTCCCCTCCCCACAACAGACACCATGTGAGGTAGGCGGGGCTGAGAGAGCTCTTTCCAGAGCCGTCCTTGAGAGAACAGCTCTGACCAAAACTATGGCTTGCCCAAGATCATTCAGCAGCTACAAGTGGAGGAGTGGGGAATCAAACCCGGTTCTCCCAGATTAGAGTCCGCGCACTTAACCACTACACCAAACTGGCTCTCACACCAAACAGCTTCAAATAATCCAAACCCTGACACCAGTTATCCTCAGACCTACTGAATATGATCCACCACCCCTTGTAGACCTCTTGACAGGGTCACTAATTTGAACATTATGGTGATTTCCGCTATTGGCATCAATTTATCACAAAATGTCAACAGCACTGTAGGATAAAAATGGCGGTTAGAGAGCTTATGGTACCAAGCAAGGGTAGCAAAGTGTCCGTCTCAGTTGGCCTCCCTGCTCTAGTTCCCAACCCACCGAAAGTGCTCATTTGATTCCACCTTGTGGCCCCAACACATTTATATGAAATTGTCACTACCTGTACAATTTTAATGTTTATTGTTTAATGATTTTCAAGTGATTTTTATTGTAACAAGTCTTGCACTCGGTTTTTGTGATCCGCCCTGAGCCTGCTTTGGAGAGGGCAGAATAGAAATCTCAAAATAAAATAAATAAATGACTAAGTTAGGAATCTGAAAGCCTCCAGTTCAAATAACACCTGGCCTTCGGCAACCACCTCCCTCTACCCCAGACTCCTCCCCCTCTGCAACAAGGACAATACCAGTGACCAGCATTACAGGTCTATTGTACCGATTACATGTTTGGAACACTCTGGAGACTCTAAAGGCGAAGTATTATAAATGCTAAGCGTTATCATCACTAGGGATGTGTATGAACCAGGAAAACGTGGTTCGGTTGGCAAACCATCAACCGTCACGAAATCTTAGCCGTTAAATGAACCGGTTCAGTTTGTGAGGTTCGTAACCCAGTAGAACAGCCCCCCGGTGTGCTAGAGACACCAAACTTGCAGAGGATCTCCAGCTAACTCTCCTCTACCTGCCCGCCATGTTTGGTGAGGATTAGATTTACAGGATCTGAGTTATGCCCCCCCCAAAGATGCCCCCAGAAAAGTGCTTTCTGGGGAAATGACACCTTTCTCTCCTATGTACATTTAGTACATAGAATTTATGTACATTTGCTTCACCTTTCTCCTGAAGAAGAGCCTACATTTGCTTCACCTACATTCAAAGCTCATTAAGAATCTTTGGCTCATAAACACCCAGATATTTACAGGAATACAGTTGCTACCATCTTGCTATGGGACTTGTTGGAGTCTGGTGAAAACATTTTAAGCAGGTCACCTCCTTAACTGTAGAAAAGAGCCAGAGTCCCATGGCACCTTAAAGACGAATAAAATTGGTGGCAGGGGAGGAGCTTTCCCGAGTCACTTCTTCAGATATGGTGACTCACGGGAGCTCATACTGTGCCACAAATCTGGTTCGTCTTTAAGGCGCTACCGGACTCCCTGCTCTTTTTGGCTGCTACAGATAGACTAACACGGCTACCCATCTGGATCTACCTCCTTAACTGGTTATCATTCTACACATCATTTCGGAATAGAAATGACCAAGAAAACAGCAGCAACAGCACTGCTTTTTGTGCATGCGTGTGCAAAACATGTCACCGGGGGACGCGGCATTATTATTACATTTAGAAAGCATATTTGCTGCTGCTGCGTGATCATTGTTTGTTATCTCCAGAAGCTTCACAGAGGCGAGCCGGTGACACTGGCCAGACGCACAGCTGTTTCTGTGTTCGGCCAGTAAGGCAGGATCGATGGATCCAAACTGGAAAGATTTACACAAGACAACATGGATCATCTTCTGTTGCAGACCCCCCTGTTGGAAGACAGAGCCCCCTGCCTCTGAGCCAGACAGGTCAGCCGCTCCCCAATCCCCTCTCTGCCGAAAAGCCTTTCGAATAGTTAAAAAGCCCGGTGGCACTTACTCTGTATCGCCTGGCAGGATTTCCTCTGCCTCCAAGGCAGTGGGGCATTTCTGTGCATGCACTGGGGCAGGTTTGATTCCCTGCTCCTCCACCCCGGTTTGATTCCCCACTCCTCCACCTGCAGCTGCTGGTGTGACCTTGAGTCAGTCACACGGTCTCTCAGAGGTGTTCTCTCAAGAGCAGTTCTCGAGAGAGCTCTCTCAGCCCCACCCACTTAGCAAGTTGCCTGTTGTGGGGAGGGGAAGGGAAAAAAGATTGTAAGCCGCTCTGAGACTCCTTCAGGTAGTGAAGGGCGGGGTATAAATCCAATCTCTTCCCCCTCCTCCCAGTTCGTTTCCAGGCACAACCCAAGAAGCTGGTCTACACCTTCTTGGAAGACAGAGCCCCCTGCCTCTGAGCCAGACAGGTCAGCCGCTCCCCAGTCCCCTCTCTGCAGAAAAGCCTTTCGAATAGTTAAAAAGCCTGGTGGGCACTTATTCTGTATCGCCTGGCAGGATTTTCTCTGCCTCCAAGGCAGCCATTGGCCTGATCCAACATTGGCTTCTCTTATGTTCTTAAGGTATAGATAGGAACTCTGAGTCTGGGGCAAGGGATGCTCGGTCTTCTTGGTGCTTGGGGGGGAGGGCTTCTAGTGTCCCGGTCCCACTGCTGGACCTCCTGATGGCCCCTGGTATTTTTGGCCACTGTGTGACAGAGTGTGGGACTGGATGGGCCATTGGCCTGATCCAACATTGGCTTCTCTTATGTTCTTAAGGTATAGATAGGAACTCTCGGTCTGGGGCAAGGGATGCTCTGTCTTCTTGGTGCTTGGTGGAGGGGGGGCAACAGTGGGAGGGCTTCTAGTGTCCCGGCCCAAATGCTGGACGTCCTGATGGCCCCTGGTATTTTTGGCCACTGTGTGACACAGAGTGTTGGACTGGATGGGCCACTGGCCTGATCCAACATTGGCTTCTCTTATGTTCTCTTATGTTTGGGACCAGCATACTTGAAGGGCCACTGCTCCCTTATGGGCCACTTTGGGGGGGGCCTCTTTGCTGAGATTAAGCAGGTGACAACCCAGGAGAAGGCCTTCTCAGTCGTGGCACCAAACCTCTGGAACTCTCGCCCAGGGAGACTCATCTCTCCCCTTCTGTTGCTGTCTTCTGCCAGCACGTGAAGACTTATTGTTTCGTGTGGCATTCCCTCAGTGACCATCTTTCCTGACCCATGTTTAATTTTTTTTAAAAAAACATTCACTGTTGGTTTTTATCTCTCTGTATGTTTGCGAAGCTGTTTTAAATGTTTTCATGATGTGCAGGCGGGTAGCTACAGTGGGGCTATTCGGGGCTCTGCCCCCTTTCTGAAAGGGGCAGCCCCACAGGGCTTGGTTGGAGTCCCCCTAGTGAGTAAGGAACAGGAGACGGAAGAGGACCGACCTGTGCCGTTCAGTCCTGGCTGGGGAAAGGGGTGAGCTCTCAGAAGGGGGTGCCTTGGTTTCCCAGGCCTTTCCAGAGGCATTTGTCCACTCCGGCAGGGAATGGAAAGATAGGTGAGGGTTAGCAGAGGTAAGGGAGGAAGGGAACTTTGGCCCTCTGGTGGGTGACTTTAAGAGGCTTGCAACTCAGTTCCTTAAGACCGCGTTTCTTCCCCCCCACCATCTATCTTTAAAGTATTAAGGGTCTAGGGGAGACGGCTGCCGGGGTTCAGGCTCACAACTACACGTCCACATAGATTTGACAGCAGAGGTGTCAAAATGAGAGCCCCACTGCAAAGATGCCTAGAGCTGGACCGGTAAGTTCAGCCCCATCAGGAAACAACTTGCCCCACAAGCCTCAAAATTCCGGCTACGGATTCTGACCCTTCTCGTCAAGGCTGCGCTGATAGCGCTGTCTGGTTGAGCCAGACACGGATGAAAGCGAGCCTCCCTTAAGTTACCCATGTCAGCAAAGCAAAGCAAGCATGCGCGCGTGCGCAAGGGTCGGGGATGAAGGTAAACAAAGAAAGCATGGCAGCTAGCTGACATCCACTGCTGTTGCTCTGGTTGGTTTTAATGGGTTTTTTTTAAGACGTGTTTTTATGATGTGTGTTCTGATTTGCCAGCTTCTTCGGTGACCCTTGTGAGGGCAGAAAGGCAAGATATAAATGTCCTAGAATAAATTTTAAAATGAATAAATAATAAAGAGAAGGACGGCAAACGTCAGCCCTGGATCTCTGTCCCAGCTAGGGATGCCGGCCTCCACGTGGGTCCCGGGGATCCCCTGGAATGACAACTTATCTCCAAACGACAGAGATCAGTTCCCCTGGAGAAAATGGATGCTTTGGAAGGTGGGCTCTATGTGTGAGTGCTGTGCAGCCCGACCCCGTAGACCCTGACCCCGGGGATTCTGCGCCCTCAACGTCTGAGGGTGAGCTCCCTGCACCCCTTGAATCACCAGACCTAAGTCTTGTGGAGGATGAGCACCAGCTACGAGGAGAGTTTACACCTGGAGCCGCGCCGGCAGAGCCAAGCACAAGAACCACGCCTCCTGATTTCCCCTGCACTGGTGGCTCGTTTGTGCGATCAGAGGCGACGGGATATGGCAACCCGGCGTAAGGAGGCGTGCATGCGAGGTCGGTGTCCTCTAAGCCCAGAGTACTGACCGGAGCCAGGACCCTGTTAGCAGCTGGAAATTGGCTAACAAGCCGACCGGGCTTTTTAGGCGTCTCTCTCAGATTCCCAACTCGTGCTGGCAACTAATCGCATAGAAGAATCGCTGCACCCCGGATCCTGCATTCCTGTCTCCTGGTTTTCATTCTGACTTCCCGGCTCCTGACTTTGGCTTGTGTGACGTTTCCCGGCTCCCTGACTTCGGACTGTGTATCCTGACTTTTGACGAACGGCTTTCGGCTTCTGAAATCTGCTTGCAATCTCCGGTAACCCTAGACTGTGTTTTGACTTGGTATTTTGGACTCTGCTCACATTACTCTGTCTCATCTGGTGCCATGACCCCGGACTGTGTTTTGGACATTCCATGCCTTGCCTGGCCCGCCAGCGCAATCGTGACACTATGGCACGATACCCTGCTGAGGCCCCTCCCACTACCCTCCCTAGGCTCCACCCCCAAAACCTCTGGGGATTTCCCAACCCGGAGCTGACAATCCTTCCCCTCCCACCCCCCTCAGTATCCAAGGAGGACCTGGCAACCCTAGTCCCGCCCCACCTCTGCTTCAGGGCAAGGATCTCCATGGGCTCCGGTTCCAGGATCTCGTAGGCCAGGTTGACGTCCTCTGTCTCGCGCAGCAGGGCATAGATCGGCTCGATCTGCTCGTTAAACCGGGCCACCAGGGTTCGGGCATCCTTTTTGGGCATGGCCGACTCGTCTTCCTCCACTTCGGTCTCGCAGAAGGTACAGCGGAAAAGTCCTAATGGGAGAGAAGCCGCAAATGTATTATTTGAAATATTTCTACTTTGAGCTTTCTGCTGAAGGAGGGGGGGAAAGATACCCGTGGGGAAGCCGCTTCCAATGTTTTCTTTGAAACAATTAAAAAAAGACACCCATGGGAAGTTGCTTCCAGCGTCTTCTTCGGAACAATTAAAAAAAGACACCCATGGGAAGTTGCTGCCAATGTCTTCTTCGGAACAATAAAAACCGTGATGAAAATGCATGAAAGACGCAGTTAAAGCAGGGAAATGGCATTGGCAGTAAAAGCAGAGAATAATTAATAACTATCGTATGGGGTTGTGTGTGGTATAGCCAGGAGATCCTAAGACTGTCTGGCTGCCTCGAGTACTAGCTCTTTTTAGCATTATGCACCACTAGGTGGCGAGCTAGACTTATTTTGGGGTGCTGAAAGAGCTCTGAGAGAGCTGCGAATGACCCAAGGTCACCCAGCTGGCTTCATGTGGAGGAGTGTGGAATCGAACCCGGTTCTCCAGATTAGAGCCCGCCGCTCTTAACCACTACACCATGGTGGCTCTCTAAAAAAAAAGCAGAGAGAGAATGAATGAGAATAATATACAACAATCAACAAACAAAAAGCAGTCTCTTGGCAGCATATAAAAGGCTACAGAAAGTCCTACAAGAGAAAAACGCTGGCTGTATTGTCCCTATTGTCAGAGGGCAATGATGTTTTCCCACAGACCAAAGAAAGCAAACATTTGAGCAGGAAGCTGATAACTCAAGGCAGCACACAACAAGGGGAGGAGCTGTGGCTCAGCAGGAGGATGTCTGCTTTGTGCCCGGAAGGTTGCAGGTTCAACCCCCCAGCCTTCCCCTCATGTTGCCTCCTGTCTCTGGGATTCACAGGCAGAGGTTCCCCTCAGTTACCATGGCTAGTAGCCACTGATCGACTTATCCTCCATGAATCTATCCAATCCCCCCTTTAAAGCTGTTCATTCCAGTGGCCCTCACGACATCCCTGGCAGCAAATTCCACACTTTAATCCCTCTCTGTGAAAAGTAGTATTCCCTTTTGTCCGTCCTGAACCTACTGCCTATCAGCGTCATTGGATGCCCTCGAGTTCCAGTATTTGGGGAGATGGAGAACAAGTTCTCTTTGTCCAGTCTCTCCACCCCATGCATAATTTTATAAGCCTCTATCGTGTCCGTCCCCCCCCCCCCTTAATAATCCCCTTTCTAAACTGAAAAGTCCCAGACTCTCCAGCCTTTCCTCAGAGGGAACTTTCTGGGGAAGGCCGCTCCTGATCTGGAGCCAGTGCAACCAAGCCAGTCCCGGTGGGGTTGGAGACATCGCAGGGGCTGCCTGGCTCAGACCTGGGCAGCGGCGAGGACGGCCACAGGTATCCGGCCTGCAGGGAGTACCGGGATCCACTTGCTCCAGGGCTGCTTTAATGTCCCACTCCGTCCCTGTGGTCTCTTCTGTGTTGCCATCATGTAGCTTGCACAAGGAGATGCGACCGAATGAGTTTAGCTGGAGTAAGAGGGGCTGTGGCTCAGTGGAAGGGTCCCTGCTTGGCGTGCAGGAGGTCCTAGGTTCAATCCCCAGCATCTCCAGTAAGGATCAGGTGCCAGGTGATGTGAGCCACTGCCAGTCAGAGGAGGCAAGGCTGACCTTGATGGACGATGGTCTGCTTCAGTATAACTCAGCTTCAGGTGTGTTCGTATCAACAACAAGAAGGGAGGAAGAAGGAGGAAGGAGGGGAGAGGAGAGGGGAAGGGAGA